AGTGAAAGGTGAAACTATTAAATATGATGCATGCGTGTTATGCTATGTGACATACAGCAGCAGGAGGGATAAAACATGAGATAAGGAGTTGATGGTGTTTATGAGTTTATGAGTGCAGCGTTTGGAGAATCTGCTTTGAAGGTAGAGTGAGCCCTAGCGGTGGATCTTAACTTCAACACTGCTGTGATTCAGTGAGGAAACACAGGCCTGAAATCCTGCTTTTGCTGCCATCTAGTGATTGTCACACTCCTTCTATGATGTAGCATTTCTTTATTAGTAGTACAAATGTGTCATTGCATGAGAGCTTTTCTGCTGAATAATATTTGTGCATGTTCTTACCCTTTCATATCTGGTGCTCACTAGGATGTCTGATATTAGCTTATCTGTTTTCATTTCATAATCCTGTTATTTGTTTCTCTCAAAACCATTAGATATGGCTCAGTCTCACTTTCCCTGTTTTATATTATATAATGCCTTTTAATGCTGAGAGACTTCTGCCTAAGTATGAATATACATCACGCTTCTAAATGCACAAACACATGTATACTGCGTCTTAATGTCGTGATAGTACATGTCAGAGAAAAGATGGAGCCTTCTCACCCTCTCTTGTTTCCATTCCTCTTTTGGCATTTAGGAGATCCACACTGACATTTAAAGTTGTGCACCCATCAGTATGTGACTAAGCTTTCTTTGCATTCTGTCAATAACCTTTATGACATCCTCAATGTAAAGCTCTTCTTACATTTCTACTATGATAATAATAATAGTGCTTCTGTGATTATCTTCCTCAAGTAAAGTCACTGCACTTGACTAAAATTAAATATAAATAAATGTAAGACAGGAGCTCTTTCTGATATTACACTGAGCAGTGCTTAGTAACATGAGTGTGTCATCCCTACTTAAAATGACTACACCTGAAAAAATTGGTTGATTAATTAATAAGGATAACATTAAGGAAACAGCTTCCTCCACCAGGCGGTCAGGATGCTGAACTCTCTCCCCTCCCTCCCTCTCTCCCCCTCTCTGACATCTCTCCCCTGAACTCTCCACCCTGCCTCCGACCTTTCTCCCCTGCCCCAAATGGTCCTGGACTCTAACCCCCTAACTCACATTTCTGCCCATCTCCGCTGCTACTGCACTGAAACTGTACTTTGAACACTTCAATTATATTATTAACATTTTAAACTGTATACCCCGGTTATCTAGGCCCTTTGTTGTGTTTAATGTATACCATGTTTATCTAGGCCCTTTTTGTTTTTTGTTTGATGTATATATGTCACACTGTAGGACTGCGGGAAACGATATTTCAAGATTTCTGGATGTACAACATGTAGAATTCTTGACAATAAAGCAGACTTTGACTTTGATTAGGAATACTATGTGAACAATGGCGAATATTCACACTTCTTTGAGGTTAGAGACTGAGTACCTATGCGTTTTCCGCCTTGGTCAGAAAAAACTGAAATTTAAAAATGATATCTTTGGCTTTTGACATTTTTACTGTTTTCGGAAATAATAAAGAAAATCGTGATTTGCATCTATAATTCCTCAAAAGTTAGTACCACGTCTACCTCATATTAATCTTTTCTACTATTCAGATGTATGCTAGTATGCATAAAAACACTATCACTGTCACAATCCTTAAACTCATGAGCAGACACGTGTATCATGTTTCAGGAGTGGTTTCTATAGACTTTTCCCCCACTATTTTTAAATCTAAGGAGTTCGGTGTTGTGCAAACTGAAAATGTTGGATATCGGGTGGAGTTTCATCTTAAATATGATGTTTGAGCCCTGCAAGCTCACTGTTCATGCTTTACATGGATGAACAATGCCACCTGCTGTTCATAATAAAAGCTGAGTTAGTGAGTAATTGGACCAGGCACATACAGTTTCACATAATTTAGTTTTTCTGAGCGTGTCCAATAAAAGGCATCAGTGCATATACCATGACATCTCTAATTATTCGGATACTTGAGCTTGGATTCGATAAAATGTCTCTATCATTCTCTATAGATCTATCACATTTCACAAGACAAACAGACATGTATGCCTGTGGGGATTTACGCATATAACTTGTATAACAAATCCAAAAAAAGTATGTCAAAGTGCAGCAGCAGAATGTGTTTACATGCCAAAAGAAAACATGAGAGGGAAGGAACAGAGTAGACGTTTTAGACATTAGCACATGGACTTGAGTTTCACGGCTGCCACACACATTTAAGCCAACAAGTTTCCGAGAGAAAGTATAGCCGAGCTGGCACACTGTGTTGTGTGAGTGGAGACTTGTGAGGTGACTGGACATTAGCCACAGAGCACAGCCCCCCATGTTTTAGTACATTGTGTTCTCTTTAAGAGGTGGTGCTCCATTTTTAACTGTTCAACTTGTCCCGCTGCCAAACAAATAGCCTATTAGAGGGGGCCATGCAGGTCACATTATTAAACCTGACAGAATAACCCCTCACAAGTACTGACTAGTTCTACATTTATACGTGGATTTTTCTCCTTTTGACTAACAGGAGTTTATATAGAATCAATATAATCTGCCCTAACTACTTTATTTGGTCGATAAAATGTCTGCCTTCATTTATTTTGAAAAATATAATCATATTATTGTGACCTATAACAATCAACAATGTATTACAGCTGCAAAAAGCTTTTTAAATAACGGACTGGGGCTTTATTCTGTAATGTAATTTTATATATATATATATACAGTATATTATATATATAATGTTTTATTTTTATTTTGGGGTTATTCAGACAACAATAAGATTCATTAAGTTGTCAGCCTGGGCTCTTGGAAATTGATTCGATTTTTGTAACATTACTGTATATAGACTAAACTATTTAACAAGTAAATAATACAAAGATTAATAGACAACCAAAATAATCAGCTAGCTCTAGTCTAGAAGATATATGACACTGTAATGGATGGATACAGGTTTCATAACACAGGATGCATGTTAGAGTTTTACTATTTAAAGGAGCTAAGCCCTCTGCTGCATATCATTTTACCTTAACATGTTTTCCACTCTTGACGTCTGTTAGTCAGTAGATGATTAAACTGCAAGGTCAAACTGGAAACACACAAACATGAAGTTGTTTTTTACTTATTATAAATGCTTTTTGAACATTCATGCATTCAGCAATGGCTCCAAACATCCCAAGAATTTTGTCACATTAACTAAACAACATTTTAATCATGCAGCAGTTGACAGGGCAGTGATTTCTCACCTGTGTGCTCAGTCAGTGTGTACAAATACTTGTGCTTGGCAAAAAGTGTGAGAGAGAACTTTAAGCAGCACTCACGATGCTGTTACTTTCTTTGGCCTTGGTTTCACTGTAAAGTGTAAGTGATATAAATACGATATTTACTTTATGTAATAGGTCTCAGAGGCCAAGGAGTCTGTTTATATCCCCTGCAGGGTTTAATAACCTTTAAGTACCCGCTACCTCTAAGCAATGAAAGATATTGTAGTCATGCGTGCTAACCTGTAACGTGCAGCATAATTACAATGCTGCGTGGCAGAATACATGTACCTTTTTCTTGTACAGTAAAATCTATTTGACATTCTTCACGTCTGATCCATGCACACCCTAGCATGAGAAGCTGACCCAACATGCTGCAAATTACCTACGTTGTCTGTCATCTGTTGGCATGCAAGGACAGGTGTGAGCGTCTCTGTCTCTCTCTGAGTGATTGATGCATGATTTTACTCCCATCTGTTTCTGCCATTTGTTTTTTCCGCTGTAGCCATCTTAAATGTAAGAGAGTCATTTGCTAGCTGGTGCGGTGACTTGTCAATACACTCAAACTGCCAGGCAAACCTCTTTTTCTGCACCTTACCTCACTGGTCTCTATTTTATCTGCCAAGTTCATAACCCCCCTCTCTTTTTAGTGAGTGGGGGGGGGGGGGGGGGGGTGGGGAGTTTGGCTGGGGTCAGTGTGGCTCAGTTTGCTGTCTGCACCCCTGTGGTCAAAGTATGTCATGGTGGCTGGATTCCATCTAAACTTTATCAGCTATACATTTACGGAGATAAGTCCAATAAGTTTGACAAAATTGTCAGGAAATAGTTTGAGTAACCAACCATACTTTTTAATAATTGTGACTAGCATGTTGTTCAGTGTTTGCTCAAGTGTTTCATTTCTGTATATACCCTGTGTTTTGACATGAACACATGTTGTTGTTCAAATGAATCATACATATTTTGATTTATAGGGAACATGGTTTACGGTCATATTACAAGAGCTAAGTTAAAATGGATCCCTTCCTCTCTTAAGGGAGGTTATTGGTGGATGTTTTGTCAGTGAGTAGGCTTCGTATAAATCATTTGGTTCACCCATCTCTTCTTTCAGTCGAAGGGGTTTAAACATCTTACTGTAGTTCCCCTTAGCCAGAAGCCACATGCTTCTTCACGTTTCCCCGAACACTGAGTGCAAGTTACAGGCATTCATGAGATAAGGAGGTTATTTGCATTGCAGCATGTTGCAGACACACTTACAGCTGTACCAACTAACCAGCACCATTACAGACTTTTCAATGCCATGAACTTTATTTAAATATTAGAAAAATAAACAATAAAATATCTTCTTTTACTCTGAACTCCCCCCACTCATACCTATGATCCTCTTCTCCTTTGTTTTACACCTGTGAAGTTCACTCAAGAGTGACAGACCATCAGTAACTATGAGGTAATGTTAATGCCATTGCCAATTGAAAATTTTTTTAAAAAAGTATGAGCATGTGTCTTAAACAGTGAAAAAGTTCTGTGTCAGTGAGCATTTTGACACCTAGCAGGGGAGTGACGGTGGTGGGCTTAACGCTTAAAGGCTCTCAAATGTCTCATAGACCAAGCTTTGCCAAGCCCCCACCCCAAACACTTGACCCCTGCTGACGTAGGCTGTCCATTTACATTTAGGGACACCGGCTCACTCCATTCTTAATACCACTTCTTGTGTGGAGGGAAGCAGGCACCAGGGACAAAGTGTGAGAGAAATGGTGTTGGTGATTGGTGATTTAAAAAACCTTGAATCACTTCTGTTCCATTTTTATTTATTTATCAAGTGTGCACACCAACGGGGAGCACTGAAGGGCAGAGCTGGCTAGGATTTTTGAAAAAGTATTTTCGTCTGTTTCAAGGACTATATTGGTCCTATTTTTGTCTCAAGTTGGTGTCCTAACGTGATTTCTAAATCACCGCAAGCCATGAGTTCCTTGGTAATGAACACAGTAGGTGATGGCAACGGCAGCTTTGACCTCATCCAGAACCGGATTGAGTCACTTAGCAGCAAAATGGACAAGCTCATCAACATTCAAGAAAAGGTCCTCAACCGGCTAGATGGGATGTCTCAGGACATAGACGGCATTGAAAAGGATATGGAGAATCTGAAAGTTGACCAGGAGGAGATCCATATCCCACCAAAGATGATGAATCAGACGCAGGTCATGGGTCGAGAAGTTAGGGAGATATGCCAGGAGATGAGCACCATAATGTCGGTGGTGAACCAGCGGTCCGAGCTGCAGGCTAACAAGCTTGAAGGAATGGAAAAGCTGGTCCTCAACATGCAGCAAGTGATCAGCTTTATTGGGGAGACGGTGAAGAGTTCTAGGGTTATGAAGCTGATGTTCAAAGGCCCTGCAACTCGGAAGGGCTCCAAATCCAAAGACAAAGCCAAGCAAGCCAATAAAAGGAAATCATCTGACACAATAAACAAGAAGCTTGACCAGGTGAGACTAAGGATATTTTGCGTGTAGCTTTTAGAAAATGTGAACAAATGCTGCATTATGGTGGTTTTGAAAAAGTTATGTTTTGAAGAAAAAATTACAGAATTTTTTATATGAATAATTTGTCAATTTTAAATATAAATGTTTTGGTTTGGATTGCTAGATATCGTCATCCAGTAGATCTAGTCTCGGTTTGTTCCAAGGGATGCTATTTATTTTTCTTGCTGACTTATTGATTTCTTAGATCTCACAAAGATGTTTTGGTTGTTCTTGGCAGAACATGTGAAAATGATCATAGCAGCCTGCCTATTCTATGAATGTGATTTGGTTTGTGTGTTATACCCCATATAATGGGGCTGGTTTCAAAAGGTAGTGTCTAAGAATTTACATGTTGACACTTGCCAACTGCTGATTGAAGTTAAAGTCATTAAGAACGCCAATTTGATAGTGTTATTTAAGCTCCTGGGTAATAAATATGTCCCTCGTAGTTTCTTTGAAGCCCCAATTTAACTCACATTTATACTTGTTGGATCTCTACCCATGCTCGGTACAACATGGCCTCCTTGGCGTGAGACTCACTCTGGGACCCCCTGGCAGGGCACGAGAGGTGAGGCCAGGATTGGAAATGCTGTTTTTGGATCAGGGCTGCAGTGTTTGTGGTCTAAAAGGGCTTTAACCCCTTCGACTCACTAGGAGTCAGGTGTCAACAAATTGTGATGAGTCCGTTTTTCTCCGTTTTTCACTTCTCTTATTGACTTACTTAAACAAGGCACATGTTTTTGTATCGAACACTGTTGGTCTTGATTGTGTCCAAATCAAGGCTGATAGCCAGTAAGGACATTATGTGTTTTCCACAACTTTTTTACACCACCAGTTTCGAGTAGGTTAACAGTGGGTATTGCCAAAATTCAATGCCATGGGACTCTTGGAACATTACCTAACTTCCTGAGCTGCAATAAAGCTCATCATAAGATTTAATTGGGAGTCCAGCACCTTTGATTTAGAGCTTTCATTAAATGTCTGTATTTACCACTGCATGCAGTGTTGCAGGATTTGTCGTTAGGTTCAGAAAAGTAAAAGAGTAAACATGTACTAATCTAAATATATTATCAGCTTGGTGTCTGTTGCTTCACTGTGCTTTGAACTGGTATGTTAGAATTTAGGTGCCTAACTTAAAGTTTTTGGCTTTATTTGTGTATTAGAAGAATTATACAACCGTTTCAATTACTGTGACACTGAAGTCATCCCCAAACTTCAGATTTAATCTTTATTTTACATGTTGGTCAATCATGACCCTATATAAAGTTCACTAAGTGCTTCTTGGCATCAACAGCATGAGCTGCACTTACAGACACCCTAAAGCAACTTATCAAAACATTCCTATCACTTGCGTAGGTTCATACATTAGAGTCATATCTCTTTCCTCTATGACCTGCAAGCAAAGAGCAAACTCACCTGAGTGGCTGTGACGTCAAGTTAGCACATACTTAAAATATTTATGAAATAGTTCATGATGCAGTCAGGTTTTTGAATTCATATTTGTAGTAATTACAGCTTTGTTAGGTCATATTGGTGGAACCAGCTAGAGTGTAAATCTTATCCAAAAATGTAATTAAATAAACAATTATTCAACCGAAAACTCAACCCTTTGATGACAACTCTTTCCCAATTAAAGTAGCTAGCAGTACTGGCTAAAAGTCGCTAAATCTAGCCAGAAAGTTCCCTAGATGGAAACAATAACAGCCTGTCCTTTCAGGCCTCCCTCCAAACCCACTCTCTCATAATCGGTATGAACTTAACCATAAGATAATGAACGTAAACATCAAACATAGCTAGTTAGCTAGCAGCTTGTGGAAGACTCTGGTAATGCACAAGGAGCGCCCTGACTAATGGCGCGTTTCCACTGCAGCGCGGAGCCCCGTTTAAGAGAGCTGTGACGTCAGCGGCCCGTCTTTGGTTGCGTTTCCACTTGGCCTAGTACCGGCTAGCGGGTCCTAATTCACAGTTTTTCTGGCCCCATAAAATCGTGGTTCTAGGGCCAGGAACAACCAGGCTGAGTCGGGCTGAGTATGCTAAACTAGAGAGAGAATCGCTGGCAAGGGGGCTACAACTACAACAAGATGAACATATTTGACCGTGATTTAATTGTAATACATGTTTCAAAATGATGCCGAAGTAACAACATACTGATACCGGTTAGTAAAAACCATGAATTAATGCTTTGACAAGTCTGCAGACAGACGGCAGGCGAAAAACCTTTTAAAATGCGTGTTTTCTAAATGGAGATTGGCAAAGCTAACGCAATATATGCTCCGACCGTCCACACTCACAACAACGGCCTATACAGACATAAATAAACCAGCGACTGTACTCGCCATGACACAGGCAGTCTGTGGTTTGTACTTGTTTAACTTTTGTCTAGTTTCTGAACATATATGAGGAGCTGTGAGCTCTGAGTGCTAACAGCTAACGGCTGTGTTGTTTTTCTGGGGTTCTCATTGAAGATGACGTCACGGCTCCGCCTACACTGCGTTACTATAGATACTACCCCAGTTCCTAAACTGTAATGGAAATGCGCCATAAAGTGATCAGTCCTAACGAGGCCTAGCCATACCGAGCGAGGCCGAGCGAGGCCGTGTAGTGGAAATGCGCCATTAGTGTCTGCTGGTTCTGCCAGGTTGTTAGAAAGGCAATGTCGGTTGGCGTATCTTTAATGTGGCCCGAATTACGAACAAATTACAACATATACCAAGTTTTTTTTCTTTTCTTTTTTACAGAGCATTGATGAATTGATTGCTATCGGGATGTAAATAGTATTTTTTTTAAATAGGACAGAGATTCTTTTTGTTATACATTACTCATCCTAGCGTCAACATATTACTCATAAAAATCAAGGCAATGCAAAGTCTCTGTCAAAATGTAATGGCATATTATATTCTGAGGATTAATGACCAGATGCCAATCTGATGGCTTTTATGTGACTCACATTTCAGGGAATTTCTGTGATCGTCAGAGCCCTTGTCAGATGGTTGCTCCATCATCATCCACCTCCATAGGTGTGAGATATCTTACGAGTAACTGCTGTTACTATGGCCTCCTTCCTACAGTCTCCCTATCAGAGTTTTACATTCCAGAAAACACTGCTGTCACTGCACTGGAAATATACCCTATGATGTTTACCTTGCAACAGCATTCAGAGAACAAATGTGAGACACCCCTGGGTTCGCAGCTTTTTCCATGCTAACCTGATCGGAGAGTGTTTAGTGAGTTTCCTCAGCTGAGAAATTTGAACAACAGCCCATGGTCGCTTGTAATATTTTCCGCTCAGGGTCAGCAATGCATTCCGTCGCTGAGAGCGACAAGTGATAAGCTATAAATTCACTGCCCTGCTGCCGTCTATCCATTTGCTATGAATAATCAAAGGCATGCCATTATACAAGAGAGTCTGCGCATGGAGACATGATATAAAATACATAGGTAATGTTGCTTATATTTTGCCTTTTGTCATTATTTAATGTATCGTCATTTGACATTAATTTGTTGTTTGATTCATTTCTTGTGTTGTGTGTTTTTCATGTGGTCCTAACTTCATCAAATCAACCTGTCACTGTCATTTCATTGAGTTATAAATGCTATTTTTGATTCATGTTGTGTGCATTTATTGTGACCAAAAAGTCATCATATCAACCTCATGTCCCTCATATTGACAGTCATTCCTAACATTTAATGTTTCTTCCATTCCATGTGCATTCATATAACCCTACTAAGCCTTGTCATCTTGTCTTTTCACTAGAAACCTACCTCTAATAAAGCCAATAAAGGGAAACAAGAGATAATTCCTGCATGTGAGCCCAGTTCTCTACAGACTTCTCACAAGATAAAGCTCCATGGACCAAAGCGTTACCTCGCCTCTCGCAAATATGGAAACTTAGTAGGTTTATTGTGCTTATGCACTTTATACAGCAATCCATCTTTTTTTATTTATAATATGTTAATATGTGCTTTTGCATGTTGGTCTCCTTTTGTTTCATGTTTGCTCAAAAGGCTGCCTCCATAATATTAATATTAGTGTTTTGATCAATTGACAAGAAGGGAGCAATGCATTACATTTGCATTACAAATGTATTACAAATTGCTACCTTTTAATGTTAGCTTTGGGACAGTAAATAATACTAGTGTGATCTAGTTAATTTTATTTAAATGTTAAGGTATAAGGAGTAATAAAGCTAAGTTCTGCCGAATCAGTAAAACCATCTAAAAAAAAACAAAACATGAATAAATATCCTTTAGTATAACATTTTAACTGAGTTATTTTCTTTAAAAATACTACACTTAAATATCAAAATGGCTGATTGTCCAGATTTTCCCCTAACTATTGTATTTGTATTCCACAGTTCAAGGACCACAAAGCTAAAGATGGGACAGATAAACCGTCTTTGAGCCCTAAGGGCCTGAAGGCTCAGAAGAAGATGAAGCCTCCAGACACAACAGGTGCTTGGATCAAATACTTTTTTATTTATTTTGCAGAATTTATTTAGTGAGACACAGCAGCAGCAAAATGTAATAAAAAATATGAACTTTCACTTCGCGCTTGCATTAGAGTTTCATCTAAGTATTGTGTGAGAGTGATATTCTATTACATGTACAGCTGTGGCCGAGTGGCATTTACATCGTGACACAGAAACCAAGCTCAGAAGGTCAAGGGGAAATATTGGGCAGCCTCATGATGTTCCATAACCTTTCGAAGTATTTAACTGTGGTTTGCAGAGATTAAATCCAGATCCTGTTTGGCTTTCTTCTTGTAGAAAATATCTCCCTTAAGAAGCAGGTGCTGCTCTTCGAAGAGGTGCAGAAACTCAACAGGGAGAATGCACAGAAGTCAGGTCACAAGACAACCACTGGATATCTGGATCTGGAGGCCGGAGTGTCCCCTAAAAGTCAACAACCTGACTCGCCTGCGTGCAACCTGGTTGACCTCCTGCGTGAAGATTCCCAAACAGATATGGGTGAGAAACACAAGGCGGTTAGTGAGGAGGAAGAACCACAGCTGGATGTGCAGGATGTGGTGAAAGAGGAAGACAAGCTCCCAGAAGAAAAGAAGGAAGAGGAAGCATCTGATGAACAAGAGCTGCCTGAGGCAAATGGGGATGAAAAAGAGAACACAAGGTAGTTCATATTCGACCCCATAAGAGATGCAAAGATTTATCACTTAATCAATTAATCCATAAATAATCTACAAATAAAAAGGCTGCAACTTTTTAGATAATCATCTAATCATTTCATTTCAACATTTGATTTGAGAATTGGATAGGTCAATAACTGTATGTACAAAAATCTGTATTGAATAAAACGCATAGGAAAAAAAACAACAGAAAAAAACATACTTTTTCCCGGCAGTGATGACCACAAAGATGCCTCCACATCTCCAGAGGCTGAGCAGGACCAGATATCAGAAGTCAGCACAGGTACCATGTTGTGTCTGACCAAGGAACACTTCATAGTGGAGGAACACACCGAGGGGAAGCTGGAGGATGAAGAGGAAGATCAGAGCCTCGAGTCTGAGGGCTGGGCTGTCTTCAGCACAGATGGCATGGATTTCCAGTTAAACCTAAAACAAAGGGTGGAGAGAGCGAGAGAGGAAATGGATGAAGAAAAGGAAGATGATGAAGATGAAGATGAAGAGGTAGAGCGGTACTTCATTGGTAAGTCTGGGTTCCCCGGCACTAATCATGGTGGGAAGTTTAAAGTTTGAGGAACTAAACTTAATCTACTCAGTTTAAGCACAGTTTAAATATTCTGTATGGCAGGGCAAAGTAGTTTACATAATAAAGGTCATGTATAGAAGTCTATAGTTGTGTCGTAAATCACCTCATACAGTACTAGAGCTGGATTGCTTATTTTAATTATAAAATGTCCTACTAAGTATGTTGTTTTTTCACAAGTGTTTAGAAAAATTAAATACAGTTAGAAAATATTATAATTGGCTAAATTGCAATATCAATATCAGCCTCAGAAGTCTAGTATTGTTCTTTGCTCTGGTTATATATCATACATTGAATGCTTGACTCCTTCCTAATATAAGAAGGGTCTATGCTAAATTGGTACAGTACAGTAGTAGGTATCAGAATAAAACCCTTGAAGGAGTCTGTGTTGTGCTAAAGCGTAGTTACTCCTCTGCAATATTTAGACTACAACTGTGCCTCTAGTTGATTTATCATAGCGCGGTAATGCACAATGTGCTAACTTGATTAAAGCAGCCACGCACCCTTTCGAAAGCCTCACTGTAGTTAATTAACAACGAAGCTCCGATGTTCTCACGTTCCTCGTAACTTATTAAAACAGATTATATATTTTCTCTGATCCCCCATCCTACTTTAGACACCAGTCTTCCTCCATCGGCCCCTTTTAATCACCGCATTGTTTCTGCCAAGCCCAACCAGATCATCAACTTCTACACCATCAACTGGCAGGAGGTCCTGGGCGGGTGAGCAACCATACTTTTCAAATCTCCATGTCATGCAAAAAATGAAAGCTATTGAGGACCATTTGATCTACCACAGATCAAAGGCAGTGTGAAAGAGTTTCCCACAAAGCCTAATTGCGTAACTCTCCCCCTCTCTTCTCCCCTGGTTCATAACTCCAGAGTCACGGCAGTTATTTTTACTTCAGGACTGGGTGGTATGTGAAACAGTATCCCTGGTGCCAGCTGGTATCTAATCACTAAGTGTTAATCCACGTCTTCAAAGAGGAGACACTGGCCAGCTCAGATTTAATGAAATAACAGATTAAGCTCTTCCCTGAACTAAAACCTCTCCGTTTGACAGAAGATCAGTTTTTGATTTGTCATGGAAACATAAAACACACGGTCTCAGTGCTGTTTCACAACTGTTACTAGGCTGCTAGGATCTGACTGTTACCATGCAACTCTAAAACGTTATTTTCTCCCTCCCTGTCTTAAAGGGGTCGTTTTGGCCAGGTGCACAAATGTGTTGAAAACTCCTCTGGTCTCACTTTGGCAGCAAAGGTCATCAAAGCCAGGAGCCTCAAGGAAAAGGTAAAGCACCGAATGTTCAGTGCAATCATAATAAATTAGCATTATTTTAATACTACAGCAAGAGCCACACAACATGATATAAAAAGCAACAGGCTTAGTTGCAACTTTCAGTACATACTACTGCACTACAAGGCCGCTTGGAACAGAAGCATAGGGAATACTTCTCACCTAGGTGAGAAATATTTGACCTAGAAGAGAAGATGCATTGTCTCATAGCAGATAACAGCTGACACATCTCATCATGACCATGTGTGTGTGTGCACGCTCGTTTGTGTGTATGTCTGCATCCTTATCTGTTTGTCTGTCTGTCTGTCTGTCTGTCTGTCTGTCTGCGCCTGTGTTTTTGGTAGGAGGTGGTGAAGAATGAGATCCAGGTCATGAATAATCTGGACCATGCCAGCCTGATCCAGCTCTATGCAGCTTATGAGTCAAGGAATGACATCATCCTTGTACTTGAATAGTATGCTCCTTCTTTTATATTCTCAGCACAAATGTTTATTATTTCTTTTTTTAAAACCAGAAAATACCAATAACTTTTCTTCAATAGACTTTAAACTTCTTTAAATACTGTGTGTCAAATTGATTTTTGATTACATTTGTTTTATAAATGTTTTCTTGATTCATGATCGGTACATCTGCTAAAATAAAACTTTTTGAATTGCTCTAGTGTTGTTGATTGGTGTTTTATGGTGTTTTATGCATTTGTCTTTACCCTTAGTGTTGGTGGAGGGGAGCTGTTCGACAGGATAATTGACGAAAACTACACTTTGATGGAGCTGGACGCCGTACTGTTCATCAGGCAGATCTGTGAAGGACTGCAGCACATGCACAAAATGTACATCCTACACTTGGACTTAAAGGTAATACATTTTAGTCATTGAAGTATTTTTTTAAAGCAGACTTAATCCATTTTTGAAGTTAGTCTAATCAACTACTTTAAATTACAGCCCGAGAACATTCTGTGTGTGAGCAGAATCACAAATAAGGTCAAAATCATCGACTTTGGCCTTGCTAGGATGTGAGTACAAACCCTCGCCTTGTATTTTGATTGACAGTTTCTTTGACCGCTGTAATCATACACAATAAAAATGTAATTTTCTTCACCTAGATACAAACCACGTGAAAAACTGCGAGTTAATTTTGGCACCCCGGAGTTTCTCGCTCCTGAAGTCATCAACTACGACTTTGTGTCGTTCAACACAGACATGTGGAGCCTCGGGGTCATTACCTACATGCTGTGAGAACACACACACACACACGCGCACGCACGGGAACACACACATTTTTAAACTAATGCTAATGACTGTCTCTTTCTTGTAGTCTGAGCGGTCTCTGTCCCTTCCTTGGCGACGATGACAACGAGACTCTGAACAACATCTTGGCCTGCAAGTGGAACTTTGACGAACAAGAGTTTGTTGATACAACTGAAGAAGCCAAAGACTTCATCTCTAAACTCCTCATTGTGAATAAAAGGTAAACATATTTAATTCTGTTTAACTGCTGTTCCAAGTGTGTGTGTGTGTGTGTATGGTCATTTTTCACAGAATATACTGTATACTTCTCATGTGTTTGTTTTCAGTTGGAGGATAGGGGCATCTGAGGCCTTGAAACATCCTTGGCTATCTGACCCCGCCCTTCATCATCGCCTTCATACAAAGGTAACACTCACTATCCTCGCCTACTTTTATCATTAACAAACAACACAAGGTTGCTGATCTTAAAAGAGCTGTATTCCCCAAATAAACATTGAAACAATAAAAAGTTTACAAAAGAGTACAAGAGTTCAACTTTTATCGAGAAAGTTTGCACACTTTTTTTAAGCTTATAGTTGAACATTCATCAAATGTTCAACTTTTTTGTTGTCATAGAGAATCATCAGTTAAAATGTTTTGAATTTAATTAGATTCAAAATTAATCTTAATGGTTAATGTTTATTAAAAACATTAAAGATATCAAATCCTGTTCCTTATCATATGCCGCTGTGCTTTACATTTGTTCTAATATATTATTTTAATTTTTTTGTTATTCAATTATTTCACAGAAAACTATGTGCAGATCTCGGAGATCATCGTGTGTGCCCCAGAATGACAGCTGAGGTTGGTATTTTTTCTTCGTTATTGTTTATCAGTTACATTTCATGTAAGTCTTACATTGGTTTTTAGGTTGTTTGTGAGCCCATGATTGAATGATTATTTTATATATTATAAAGGTTTTGGATTATGTAAAGTTTTTGGAACTTGAATCTTCAGAGATCATAATTTGAAACATTTGCCGGTCACAGGAATGCTTTCATATCATCCACAAGGGGGAAGCATGTCTCAAGTTGTGCACGGTAGCGCGGCAGAAACAAGAGTCTGCATACCTTCCAGTTACTGAATATATAACTGTGACCATCTGAGAGTCACCCCGTTTACAGTTTGCTTCTTTTTTAGGGCGACAGTGATGTGATGGCTTGAGCTGCGGCCACTTGGACCAACCCTCCTGTCCACGTAAATTACCTTTACTTTTCAGGCTACCCTACATGTGATCCAATGATGTTGTGCTAATGTAATCAATATTCAAAAAAGCATACACAGAAAAATCAATTTGTGAATTTAGGATTTATAACTGGATCACCCTGCATTAGACTGTCCCTTTATAAAAAAGAATGTGCAATTTATGATTGACAAAAAAACCATCAAATGGCACCTCAACTGTTTTGGTTTATCGTATATATAGCGTTTCAAAAACAATGTCATAATCTTAACCTACTTTCTTCATGTAATATCATATAAGAGCTTGATTGTGTGTGGCATCTGTGCCTTTAAAGTTGAATGTGCTCTATGTACTTTACATTTGAAATATCCACCCAGTGAGGCACTCTCATTGTTCTCTAACCAAATACACTGTGCTGTTATTGTTCGCTGCTTTTGTATCAAGGATACATCATGTGTTGTATTAGCTGAATCTAATAATATAAGTTGCATTTCTCCCCTCTCAGTCACAAATAATATCCAATATATGTTTCATGCTGTAAATAATTGCTCCTCGGTAGATTTAAATTCAAATGTTCTAATATCTTAGGGGATGGTCTCCATTAAATTGGTGGATGTGTATTGTACGTATGGACAGAATGGGATTCGTACGATCGGTGTCATGAGCTGTAGTATGTGCACTTTATAAAGTTATTTATTTAAACATATTATACATGAAGCTACATAGTTCCATTGAAAAAGCTTGTGTGGTCAGATGTACTCATATCCTACTTTGTCTGGGTGTAATAAAGAACAGTTTTACTTTACATCAAACCAACACAGTTTATGTCTTATCACCCTACTGTATTATTTAATTATTTGTGCATGTTTTCTATGTATATTTATCCATTGAAACTTAAACTAGATACACATAGAAATATATTTTATAAACTTTTTTTCACTCTAGCTGCATATTCATGCTACTGTAGATGCTTTTTCACATAAAACAAAGATATAACTAAAATGCCTTCTGTGAAGGTTCCCTAACTGAAAGTAATACACTACCTACCTAACATTGCCTACAATGATACAATGTTGTTAGACCTATATTTATGTGGTTTTAATTTAACTTCATTATGAATGTGACTTTAATTGTTGTTGAACACAGAGTGCTAGTAAAATAAGTTGTCCTCACGCAGTGTTAACAATTTCAGTGTGTACACATCCAATAAACTGAAATTGAGTCTTGACTAAGATTATGTATTCTTTTTTTCTTGTTGCTCGTAGTTCAGTACAATAGCATTCAGTACGACTGAGTTTACGGAATAGATTATTTTTTTCATATTCAGGCGGCAAAATGAAAATCAAGAGTTCATTCAAATCCAGTTGCTTACGGAAAATCATGTTAACATCATGTCATTTCTAGGTTTGATTTAACATGATTAAAGTTATAATGTTATGAATGAAAGTAGTACATTTTTATGGTAGATTAGAATAAGATTACATTTTAGGTGATGTTACTTTCTCTAAAACAAACCAGTCTAAAAATCAATTTTCCAGCAGGATTTCTTGTTCCTTCTTGGGTAAATGTAGTTTTAACATCTTTAAACTCTGGGAACACTCTCTTTTAGAAACAGTATTCATATCTAAAGTTAACTATTTTTGGTGAGAACTTTTTAAATCTCATCCCAGGTCTATTTAAACCTTAAACACACAAACACACTCCTACTGAAGATGAAAGTGCAGCTGATTCCAGGAGCCTAATAAAGAGCATCTGAAGGAGCCAGAGTGTGCAATGCCGTTTGCTCACCTGAAACAATAAACTGAGTGTGTGGGATAATGATGATGTCGGGGAACGGGGCTTTCACTGAGACGTATTGGGGTAAAACAAAATGGTTATCAGCAGTTTTTATTTTTTTCCCAAAGGTCATTGGAAGGGTTGAGACACCAAAAATGAAGGATGACAGTTAGGAAACGTGAGTTTTCAAGGAGCATGTATACATTTCAAGCTACATTTCCACAAAGTATACCTTAACTTTCAGCCTGCTCTATCCTTTAAAAGAGAGAAAGGTCTTATTTTACAAAACCCACAGGGTTAGTCAAGGATAAGTGCAGACTTTATGGGGGAATACCATGGGAAACATGTATTTAATTGTACAGAAATACCAGAAAAGCAAACTGTACCACCAGAAAGCATTGAAACCCAGTAGTTGACCACTTTTACATCCAGTAGTTTAAGACTGTCACGGCCATAAAATTGTAAGGGCCGACAAAATAATTCACAGTTTTGAGTTATTTTCATTTTTATTCAGTTTGGATTTATAAAGCGTGCACTAGACAGTGACAAGACAGATGGATGGTAGAGACAGTCTGTCGTCCAACTGTATGAAAACCTGAAATTGACTGGAGCACAATCACATTTTGTGGACAAAAAGAGCTAAATAAGAAAAAAACGCCTAGGAATATTTACAGACACAGATCATCAAAGCCAACACCAAAAATACAACACAGAAACATTTGTCAGGTAACCACAACAACATTTTTCCTTAACCATTGAACTAAATGTAATTAACAGAAGAAATAGGAACAATTTAAAAATTGATATTAATTGTGTACATAATTTTAACATTAACTCTCAATATAAAATGACGGATAAAAAATATGCTATAAGGAGAAACAAACATCCAGCTAGCTATAGATAAATGTTGTCCTGCTAGTGTACGTGTGAAACCATCAACACTTTGTGGAACTTTGCTGTGGACATAAGCTTTATTTTGGAAAACATTTTTCCTATTGTTGTACAGTATGTATAAAAAGCACTTTTATTACATTAACACCCTAAACATGAGTTTTGAATGCTTTCCATCATGAATTCCTATCAAGGAGTGACCACTCTGTTTAGTCTGCTATTTGTTTATTTTCACACACCATTTCATTGGACACAAAATGTTTCAGGTCAGGAATGGTTCAGAGAAAGTTCATACATTCCTCCATTACATTCACAGGCAGAGTGCGTCTGAGTAAGTAAATAACCATTACTCCGAACATGCAGGCCGTTTGGCAAAACAGGTGATACTCATTTCTCCCAAGTATTTTTTCCCCTTTTGCTTAATTTTATTGCAAAGCTTCTCAGGAGCCTGAGGGTTTGAAGCCGAACGCAAGCTCTCGCTCTATCCCTGGTCCGAGGCCCAGGTTGGAATGGTGAGAAATTCAATTAAAGAGGAGAAAAAGCCTCCTCAAACTGCTCCTCCACCACCCCGTCTCACCCCTAAGTCCCCTCCATCCACATCTCCAGGGGCGATCTCGAGGAGCCAAACCAAAACCAGATGGACTTATTGGGCCTAAAGATAACAAATAGTGCCTGAGTTCCTGTCAGTTAGAGACCACCGGAGCTAAGAAGCTGAGCGTGAAAGAAAGCTTACTGACATGTCGACTTCTTTGTCTTGATATATAAAATATAATCAATATTGACAAGTATTATATTACAGTTAGTGAATGTTAAGAAAGGAAAAGTACTATTAAAGCTGGTTTGTTTGCAGTGAGGTGGAGAGGACTTTATTTTTGTTGGTGTTTGTGTTAAGGAGTTGCATTCACAGACCAGGTGCCATCTTGGTGGTGGGAAGGCGGGCTGTCAGCAGTGACCTGAATCTCTGGGTGGCATGCTCTCCAGTGTGTTAGTCGATACACCTACAGCCCACACACACTTAGTAAGAAAGGACAGACAGAGAGAGAGAGAGAGACAGAGAGAGAGAGAGAGAGAGAGAGAGAGAGAGAGAGAGAGAGAGAGAGAGAGAGAGAGAGAGAGAGAGAGAGAGAGAGAGAGAGAGAGAGAGAGAGAGAAGAGGAGGGTGACCCCAGAACTCCTCACAGCCTCCCTGCAGATTGACTAAGAAAGTGTCCTTTGTAACAGGAGTTTCCTGTACGTAATTAAAAAATATTGGGCCCTGCTCAAAAGGGAGGGGACGGGGCCTGGGGTTGTAGGAGGCGATGTGAAGGGTAGGATTCCCTTCTCCACTCTTCGTTTCAAGTAAGAGCCCCGGAGGTGGCCCTGACGTTTGTCCAAACAAGAGCCGCTCTCTCTCTCTCCAAGGAGGTCTGGAGAGAGGACCAGTTCTCAGGGCCTATGGGCAGGTGGTTCTGATTTGTGAGGGGGGGCAAACAGACCACGTTTATGTTCAGTTAATGGCAGTACACGTGTCGTCAAGTCCAGTAGTGGGAACATGCTGGGTGAGTGATCTGTTTTTAACACCGCTGAGGTTTGCCACCGATAATAACACAATGTCCAATTCTCCATTTATGGGATAATTCAATATTAGGAAGATATTTTCAATATATAAAAACTGCAATTCATACGAAATATAAGGCACTAATGCTCAATTCTATACACCAGGCGTTTTGTAAACATCTTAGCATTAGTTGGTTTGATATGATCAGTAGCTAATGCTGGCTAATATTAGCTAGTTAATGTTCGCTCTCTGTTTACTGCTCAGGAGAGATAACGTTAGCTACGAGTTGGTGAACACATAATAGTGGAGCATTTAGCGGCTAAAACAATATACATTTATCATAAAAATGACGGTAAATTAATGTTGATACAAATCTCAGAGAAACATAAAAGGTGATAATATGTCAACGATGTTTTTATAGCATGTTTCTGCTGCCCCCGAGGCCCCAACAACTCTTATGAGTGATTCTCTGTATTTAATGAAGTTTCATAACGTGTCAAATGTCACATTAGTTTTGAGAGTTAGATGTAGACGTACTTCATACTTTTATCCTGCGAACCATGTTTCAGTAAGTACAACATGACTTTAGAAATGAAAACAGCCCTCTCCCACCCACACAGATAGATTTCAAGACGAGGGGGAAACCCAGCAGCTTGCTGTGTCAGGTGTTTTCAGTCGGTGGTTTCAACACTGATCAAATGGCCACGCTGAAGCCTTTAATGATCTTGGAGGCTCCCCGCTGTCGGGTCATCTGCTTGGCTCCACATCACCTCCAGGTTGGGCCCTACTGCCGGTCAGGCGGTCCCACAATGGGGCCTTTTCCATCAGCCTTGTATTTACTCGTCCCTCTGGCTCACCCCTCAGCCTGCGAGGGGTCTCTGTTCAGTCTGCCAGCCCTGCTGAGAGGCTCTGTGGCCGAGAGAGCCATAATCCATCAGGCCTCTGTGTGTGTGCTTTGCTCTTTTATGCTTTAGCTCTTGCTGAGGAGACTTTTCTGAAGGAACTAAATGGAGCCAAGCGACTTGTTCAAACACACTAAAGGAGCATGTTTTCTGTGTCTGAGGTTAGTGTGTTAATACAAGCTTGTGTGCAGGCTTGGGTGTATGAACACGCTGCTTGTGTGCATGTTTAATAACTTTAGACCTTGCACGCCATACAAATGAACTCCTCCTTGACCCTAACCAGTGCAGACATCTTCTTATCCTGCCCTGACAGGGGTATGTTGTCATCCAAAATGCTTGTGAATACTGTCATGTTTCATTTGATCCCCCTAATCTACACCACTCACTCACACACAAGCAAATACTAGACATTAGCTTCATACAAATCCATATCTCTCTGTTATGTTCTCTTTCCCACCCACAGCGTCTGTCCGCCCCCCTAGTGCATGGTGATCGATGAGCTAACCCTATTCTTCCTGCAGCAGGGACTGTAATGAGGGGAAAAGACCCCTTAGCTCGTTCTCTATCTAACTCCCAAAAACAGCTCTAATGGCCAACAAAAACACAGAACAAGGCATCCAAATGGCAACCCGTACGGCTGCTGCTATTGTAGTGTGAAATGTTTCCCATGATAGAGCTCGACACATGAGAGCAGTACGTGATGGATGACAAAAGTGTGAAACCGAGAGACCAGGGTCAGAATGAGGTGATACAGAGATATAATAATTTCTGTCATGACAGTTTGTATCTTACTGAAGTACAGCATGGTAAGAAAAATGAGTTTTGCAACACAGCATATTTTAGGAAACATGATACAACCAGCAGCCAAATAACCTCTTTGGTATTATTGTCCGGTTACTTTATTTTCCTTGCGGATTTTGATCCTGTGGGGTTTAATAAACCTTGAGGGGGAATCACTGGTATCTTACCATATTTAAACAAAAAATGCATTGCTGTTTTTTTTTCTTGGTTTGGATTTTTTGGGGGAATGCCTTCATTTCAGTCCAGTCTGCTTTTAGACAGGGCAAACAGGAAAAGAGTCACAGTGCTGCGGTTCATTCTTCAGGCCGTATTCATTTGACC